CTAAAGGCTCTTCTGAACTTTGATATGTGCCAAGACACCGCTATTGAAAGCTGTATAATTATGTGCTATAGCCACTGTAGAAAATGCTTTGTTCACCACAACAAAGAACAATAAGCAAAGTAAAGTGACATTACACTGTATCTTTTTCTTTAAGAATGTTGAGAAAGGTCACGGTACGTTATAACTAATAAAGCTGTTGAGTAAGGAAGTTTAAAGTTGATCTTGCTGTGCTTAAATGTAACCCAATGACAAAAAGGCAGAGGGAACTAAAATTGTAATGACATTAAAAAATAGATCATATATCAACGTGCCAACTTCATTATACAAACACCTTGAATCCAAAGGACACAAACAGTAAAACCGAGTGTAGTCCTGCAACAGTATTCCTCCCGCAATTCTCTCCCTAATAGCTTCCAACTACAATCTGCAGTTCCACTAACTGCAAAAACTGATTAATAAGCATTAATTGATACATGCAATGCAGGGACCTTCTATTGCAAGCTGTGGATTTTGTTACTTGATTAAAAAACAGGTTCATTTCCTGTGCAGTTTCAAAGAAAGCTCTGCTGTTTCACATGAGAACCTCTTCAAAATTTAGAAAAAAAAAAAAGAAAAAAAAGAAAAAGGCCCGAGGGCACCAATTACATTTACATTTCCCGAAACCAAGATTTTTAAGTGAAAAAGAAGTTCCATCTAGACACCTATGTTTCAGTTTTCCTTCAGAGGAATCAGGACAGTTATGTTTGCTATTCTCAAATTGCAAAAGCAGCTTTACTCTCCTTCCTGCAGATCACCAGGCAGTGGCCTCCTGACTTTGTCTTTAAGAACGCCCAGAACGATGTAGAAACGCTACAACAATAAAGCCCTTGAAGGAGGAAGTATACAGCTGAGGGAAAAAATGCAAGGACTTTAATACCAAAACAAACAACTGTCCCGTTAGGCTGTGCCCACCGCTGGTACCACCAGAAGCGCAGACTGCCACGGCACAGCAGTCCCCACGGAAAGACCAGTCTCTCAGATGGAAGTTAGCAAGTTATGGACTTGATTTTCACTTCTCTCGGGGCCACTTTACACAGCTCTGGTTGTGTAAAGGAGTATTCAAGTGGTTATAAATTCTACTTTACGGTGCTTGTGCATCGCAAAACCGATGGTAAGTGGCTTTGGTTTAAATAAGAGTCAGGTTTGAAAGCTTTAATTCTCCTTCTGATGAACACCAATTCAGTTCAAGATGAGCCCTGCAGATGAAACTGGGGAAGAATACAGATTCCTAAAATAAGCACCATGAGTGGCCAGAATTTTTGATAATTTAGGATGTCTTAATTTTTGGATGCAGTGCTGGGCACACTTCATTTTCAGGGAATGGACCGTTGAGGACCTCCTGACAAAGTGGCTCTCATTAATAGATCTCCAGTTGAGCATCCCAAAATGGAATTGGCCTAAAAACATCATCACTTCTGAAAATTTTGGCAGCCAGCTTTCCTCTCAAGGGTTCATAGGCTGCTTACATGACTAGGTTATTCCTTAGATTTTATAAGTGGTGTTATTTGAATTGTTTTACATAATTTCATTGATTTTTATGGGTCTAGCTCGGTGCCTTAAGTTAAACATTCTGCTAAGACTTGAGTACAACTGGTCTTAATTAAGATTTTCCCACTAGCATGGCTTTCCCCTGCCAAAAGCGGAGCAAACTTCTTAAAAATGGTTTTCTCCCCCCTTTCGAAACGACGCCACGTGCCGTAACGAGCGCTCTGAAAAGAGGCAATCATCGCGTCGAGCCCCACTCCACCAAAACTGCGTACGGCGTGTTTGTGCAAATAACGCAGCTTGGCAGACGTTTCACTATTGTGATCAATCTCAATAACTACGTCTGCAAAACGGGGTGAGTTCCCGTGAAGCAGCAGGCAGGCTGAGCTCAGAAAGATGGCGTGTCGCGGGGGGCTCGCTTTGGTGCTCGTTGGCTCGCTCCGCCAAGGAGCGCGGTGAGCCTCAGGAGTAGGCAGGAGGGCAGGGAGGGAAATCGCTGGCACAGAGAGACCCGGAGACTTCAGAACTAAGACCGAGTCGTTAAATGCCCACGAGGAAAAGGAACGGGCATCGTGCAGAGAGATGTTAATTCACAGAGAACGACGGTAACCGCACAAAAATGCCAGGGAACAAGGATGATGGAGGAGGAGCGGGAGCCAAAGCAAGGCTAAAATCCAGGTATTGTCCTCAGGCCAATTTATTTTGCTTGTTTTACGTACATAAATCGGAAAAAAAAATATTTATGGTTTTCAACCATATTTTTATTTCAACTCACAGCATGGTGTCCCCCTGTTTTGAAATCATCCTGCCACAGTCACAACCGTGAGCTCCGATGATCTGTTTTAGGATGGATTTTGAAAGTGATTTATGAAATTATTTGGGATTTTTTTTTTCTTTTTTACTTGCAATACATAGCAATAATACCTGACTGTAACTACTGCAGCTGGCATTCAGAAGCCTATGGCAACACCACAGATGAGACAGATGAGACACAGCAAGATGTACTCTCTTTCTGACCAACTTCGGCTTTCATTCACCAGGACAACCCACCTTCTCCCTCCCTGGAAGAATTGCCCTGGAGCACAGAAGCATCTTCACCTTTCACCAAAAAAAAATGTTTGGTTGGTTTTCTTTCCCTCTCTTTTAAAATGCCTTTTCAAATGGGTCTGTGCAGCTCAGGACAGGTTTCTCCAGCTAACCCTGCTGCTAGAGAGAGGAGCGTGGAACCGGCTACACACACACACACACGTGTGCACACAAAACCCAGGCAAAGTTGCATCGCGCTGGAGGAGGCGTTGTATCTGTCTCTGGCTCACAGCCACAAGGGTACAATGGCAAAGCTAAAAACGATAGGACATGTGGTTTGTTAAACATCTTATTTGACTTTGCTACAAGCTGTCAGTTCCAATGTGCAGGGAAAGGAACACAGTACCACAGATTCCTGAGCAAATCAATGGCACAGCCCGATACGGACCAAATGCACATTTTAGCTTTATTCTTTTTCCCTCATAGTCAATTTAGGACTATTAAAGTATATGCGTGAATTTCACCCAGAAAGAGATAAAGGAGGAGGGTTTAGGAATAGTAGTGCAGGTGATTTAAGAGAAACAGCATATCACACTAATCAGAAGATCAGCAAAGCATCATTGAAGTATGAGAGGAAGGAACTTTGATGACGCTAAATATGGCAAATGCTCAGTTTGCTAAATCCCTTTGGATCCAATTTCAACATTACAGTACTTGTCATTTTTGCTTTGCAGCTTGTGGGGGAGGGACCAGGCATTTATTGGGAAAAGTTACATTACATTAGAAACTGCACTGTACACTGTAATGATCTCAAGACTGCTGGATCTTCAGTGAAAAACCAAGATTTAAACCCTTAGAAAGTTCAAATTATGCTAGATAACACAAGAAAGAGTGTGAAATATCTGCAAATCATCACCACTTCTAACATTCCTTTCTGTTCGTGATGGGGGAAAAATACCAAGGGGGTCCTTTCCTACCAGCCAGTAGACACCTTGCTGAGATGAGGAGACTGCGATCACTAACAGTGCTAAGCATATGAGATTTGCATTTTCTTATCTACCTGAAAGCACCAATAACCTCCCCACATTTCTTCACTGAAGTAATCTATTTACATTAACACTGCAACTAATGTTTTGAAATGCAGCAATAAGTGCCCGAGATCATCAAGGATCTGAGAGCAAAGAACATTTCAATCTACGTTGTGCAAACAGAAAAAAAGTTGCGTTAAGAGGAAAAAAAGCTTGAGGGAATTTAAGCACTTTTTGACAGAAAAGAAATTGGTCACACTTATCTCCTTATGTATTTCCTTTTCCTTTCCTGTGTTTACCTATTTTGTCTTGTCGTGGAGGCTGGGAGTCTCCTGTACTCTACCTGCATGAGTATCTAAGGGGGCCAGAGCCCTCAGAAAGACCTGGAGGGGCCACAGCACACCAAACATGAAGCCTGGATGTCATCATCAGCCGCAAACCCCTGGAGGACCGTCCTCTTCCCCACTCTTTCTTCATCTGCCCCTTCCATGCAACCACTCTCCCAGAAAACTTTGCGTGCCCAGAAGAGGGGGAAGGAGCTGAGAAAGCCTTTGCTTACAGACTTTTTGCACCATCTGAACTTACACGCTGTGAAAACAAGCACTGCTAAAAATCCCCCGGAAGGATTTTAGGCAGGAAATCACCCTCCTTCGGTGGACAAGTGTCACTTTCGCTACAGGGGGGGCTCATTATGCAACTTGAGCCCAAGCGAAAGGTGCAGACCAAAAACCAATAAATTAGTACCACCATCACTTTCCCTCTCCACCAAGGGATGGGATTACTCCAGCCTCCCCCTCACGCACACCCTGTTCAAATGCATCATTACATCTGACTACCTGAACAATGCAAACTGCCGTCCTCAGCAGGGAGAAACACTCTCCCGTGGTATCGCCGAGGGTCAGCATGTTAATGATAACAATAGTCTGCTGAGCTACCAGGCTGGCCTGTAAACAGGAATCTTAATCAAAGCCACAAACCCGTTACAGCAGAAAACAGAGAGCATTTACTTCGAGTAGTCATTTTATCCTGCAGCTTGACAAAGCAAATGCATTTCAGTTCTATAAATCAAATGAAGGAAAGGAGAGGAAGGTAACTGCAAGTGTTTGATCACGCAATTACAGAGCTTTAGAAGAGCCGTGAGGTGATTTCTTTCACTACGGTCCCTCCTAAAGGAAACTTCAAAAAGTCGAAACTAAGAAACTTATCAAAAAAAGTGAAAACTTTTATCTCTTGTCAAGCCCTAGTGAGGCGTAAGTCTCCAGCTACCAGGGCTAAAAAGATTAATTAGCGTCATTCAGGGATGTGGAATGCCCAGATTCCACCGATCAGGGCCACAACAAAAAGGTACATTATTTTAAAGGCAGCCTGGACCACAGAGCAACTCACACACACACACACAGAGAAACAAAGATCGGTGCCTAC